GGTGGCTATGAATTGGAACCGACACAATGGAACAGTGAGACATTTCACATATGTGGAATTGTGTAATATGTTGTATTTTATGTATGGCTTCTCTCACTTAGTATAATGTTTTTGAGAGAGTCAGCTATGTTGTAGCATGTAGTATTTTTCTTTCTTTACTGCTGAACAGTAACTATTCTATTATGTGCATATATCAATTTATCCAAGTATTTACCGCTTGATGGACTTGTTGCTACTTTTTGGCTATAATGAATGATGCTGCTATGAACATTTACATGCAAATCTTTGTGTGGACATATGTTTCCATTTCTCTTTCATAGATCCCTAGGAGTGGAATTGTTGGGTCATGTGTAAATTTATCTTTAAAGGTTGAAGAACCTCCTAAACTTTTCCAAAGTGGCTATATCATTTTACATTTTCACTAGCAATGTATGAGGGTTCCTGTTTCTTATGTCCTTACTCACATTTGTTGTTGTCTGTCTTTTTCATTATATCTAGTCTACTTGCAAAAATAACACCAGAAACCCCCAAACCACTGTTGTTGTGTCGATTCTGACTAATAGGGACTCGGTAGGACATAGTGGATCTGCCCCATATGATTTCTAAAGCTCTGCATCTTTATGGAAGCAGACTGTCACATCTTTCTCCCAAGGAGCGGCTGGTAGCTACAAACGGCTGACCTTTTGACTAGCAGTCCAGTGCTGGAACCTTGGTGTCACCAGGGTTTCTTATATCCATTCTTCTTGTTGCTGTTAAGTGCCATTGAGTCACTTCCAACTCATAGTGACCTTGTATAGGGTTTCTGAGGAGCAGCTGGTGGGCTTGAACCACCAACCTTGCAGTTAACTTATCTTATAGTGCCATATCAGGGCTATCCATTCTGGTGCAGGTGGTTATGTGCTATGGAGTCGGTTCTGACCCATAGCAACTCTGTATAGGGTTTCTGATGCTATAAATGTTTGCAGGAGCAGAAAGCCTTATCTTTCTCCTGCAGAACGGCTGGTAGTTTCGAACTGCTGACCTTGAGGTTAGCAGCTCGACTTGTAACCACAACCTACCAGAGCTCCTCCTGGATATGAAATACCATTTCATTGAGATTTTGATTGCATTTCTTTAATGGCTAAAGATAGCTAGCATCTTGTCATCTGTTTATTATTTCTTTGAATATTGTCTTTGGTGAAATGGTCTATTCATATCTTTTGCCTGTTTTTTGATTACGTTGTCTGTCTTACTGAATTGAGTTGTATGAATATTTTGTATATTCTGGATATAAGTCATTATTAGGTATGTAATTAGCAAATTTTTTTCCCAGTCTGTGCCAAGTTTTTCTTTTTCTTTTGTCTTCAATGTTTTGAAGCACAAAAGTTTTAAGTTTTGATATCCAATTTATCTTTTTTTTTTTTTTCTTTTATGGATTGTGCTTTTCGTGTTGTATATAAAAATATCTCTGCCTAACTCATGGTCTTGGAGATTTACAGCTATGTTTTCTTCCAAAAGTTTTATAGTTTTAACTTTAACATTTAGGTCTCTGATTTATGCTCTAGGATCTTTTTTTGTTTTTTTCCACTAAAAAATATCTATGGACGATGAAATTTGAATTTCATATATTTTACAGGTATCACATATATTACTCTTTTGTTTTTGAAGCTTTTATTGTGAATTGAGTGATAGTTTACATGGGAGAACATTGGTTTTTATACTCACCCTGTAGTATTTTGTGTCACTGCAGTGATTACAATCCCCTCCGTGCATCATCGGTTAACAGTATTTGCTTCTAATTCCTTTTGTTTTGTATTTTTTAGGTACATAAAAAACACATAAGAATATATATAAATCATTTAAACAACCAAAGAGCACATTCTGCAAGCCAGCCTCCTGGCTTTCCTCGAGTCTAGAGTCCTCAGCTGCTCTGTCTCTCCATGCCATCACCTCTGCCTCCATCTGTGGTGTTGCTGCTTTTCTGGTTAGAATCCCATGTTCTGCTCATGTTCTTCTCTCTTGATGGTCCTAGGGTCCTCTGTTTCTGGAATGTAAGATTAACTACTCCCCCTTTTTGTTACACAACTTTTACCTTTACAGTTGTGACAGTCGCAATTAGTCATGATAACAATGACTATTGAATCAAAAGAGTCCTATCCCTACCATCTCCCTTTACCAGACCCATCTAGACAATATGAAAACTATTCAGTGGGAATTCACTCATCCCCCGCACACTCTGAAGTAAACTCCCTCTTGAAAATTTGTAAGCCAGCTACTTTGTGCCTTTATAGCCTCTCCCCCACCCCCTCCACCCCATTTTAGTTAGGCAATGTCTAAGTTGCCCATCCCTATCAACCCTGTGTACAGAAGGAATAGGATTGATCCTTGATGTGAAGACTCCTCCCCTCACAGTTGGTATTTTGCGCTACTACATCCATAAGTATAGGTCAATTTCATCAAATTGTAGCAATTTACACTTGTTTCCTGTATCAAATTTCTTTACCTTCCTCTAGTTTAGTTCTGATCATCAAGCCATGGAAGCTAGGCCAAATGGGTACTATATGCAAGTTTGGGCGTTCTTGTGTGTCGTCCCCCACTTCATATCAGCTGGACACTTCACTCTCAGCTCTAGCCCTCTGTGTCTAGGTCAGTGTTTGTGGGCTCAAGAGTTTCCGTGTTTTCCCTTCAGCAACCAGCCCTTCCTCTTCACTCTCTCAGCTCAAGGTTGACAGGAGTCTGTGGAACCTGGTCACATTCAGCCCATGTCTTCTTTGCTGCCTTTGCCCCATTTCCACTCACAAGTAGACCAACTCAGTCACCAAGGCGCTTATGTGCCTGCTTGTGTGCTCGCTTTGAATTTCAGTCTTGGAGTAGGCTACGTTGTGTAGGATAAGCACTAGGCTGTTAACCATAAGTAGTTTAAACTCACCAGCCACTCCCAGGGAGACAGATAAGGGGTCTGCTTCCATAAAGGTTTGCAGCCTTAGAAACCTATACAGGGTCACTGCTGACTGTGGTTGGTTTGGGTTTGGTTTATGTATTGTATTTTTAAGATGTAAGTAATGACTCTGCTGTTTAACTGCTCTAGACAGGACAGCAAGGAGATCCCAGTAAGAACCTATGTCCGTTCACCGTTTCCCTCCTGCTCGCTGTAACAAGAATACAAAGATTTGAGGAACAGGTATTTATTAAAGATTTTTTGGTTCCTTCTGTAGTTGGTAAAAAGGAGTACATGAGCCTGCTTTTATTGTCCTTTCCTAAACAATTCTACCCCGTTCTGCTAGCCACAATTTCTTTTGTGAACCGTGTAGCTCCAGACTTGTGGGGGCTGCTAGAAGACTTCTTCAGGTATTTGGGGTACACCTCCCTTTCTTTCTGTGTGTTAACCCAGGTGATGTAATAGAAATAAGAGCGGAAGTACATCACACAGTCCAAGTAGCAAGAACGAATAACTAGCTGGATAATTCACCAATAAAAAAGTATTGCTGAATAAAACTATACGATGATGGTGTAACTGTTGAAAAAAGTGTCTCTGATCAATCTGAAATTGATGAATGAGAATAGGTTTCATTGCAAGGATGAAAATATGAAAATCTTTGCTTTTTTCTCATATCTAAGGGGGCTTCAGAAAGTTTGTGGGAAAATGGGATTAAAAGGTAATAAAAAAATTTTCATGAACATTTTGAAGCCATCTCGTATGTTTTCTGGTTGTTTATATTTTAGCTCTTTTGTCTCTTTGAGGAAGGCCTGTCTTCACAGATTTTAAGTTTCCATTGAAAATCATAATTTTTGCAACATTCTCATCTAGTGAAACAGTTGTCATATAAATATGAATAAGTGGTAGCAAGTAGGAACAGTTATAGGACTAAAATATAAAAGCATTAACAAAAACAATGTTTAATTATAAAGGGTCTGTGGATTTTGAAGCATCAAATGGTTCCCCCAACAAGGAGAGAACTGAACAGTAAGAGTTTAGTGTTCTGCTGGATACCTTGGACATTTTCTCATTTATCTGCAGTATAACACACATTCTTACAGGTAGTGTCTGGGGAGCAGCGATCAGATCACATGTGACCATGTGGCCTACTTCATCTTACTGCATTTGAACTTTATCCTGTAACAAAATGACTACTGCCAATAGCCATATGTCTGGTATTACACCTAGAGAACATTAGCATTTATGAAATTGCCTGAACTGAGAGTATCAGGAGAAAGACTGTCTCTCAGTGTGTCAAGTTAAATATGCAATTTGTGATGGGATATGGATACATGACTTAATTTTGGATACATGGATACATGACTTCCTCCATATTTCAGCAAGTAGGAAAAAGTAAACTTATAGTGATTAGGAGTTCATCACGTAAAGTTTTGTGGTTAACACTTAACCTAAAAATTGGTTAGAGGTGGCTCTAATGAGAATTCAAATTATCTAAGTTTCTCAGTGCCAATATACTAATACTAAAGCTTTCATCCGCTAAGAAAGAGGTATAGGACAGTGTAGATACGCAATGCCCACATCTGGTTACTTTTGGCCGCTATTATGAAGGAATGTCAGCAGTTCCTGTAGCTAAATTTATTGTATAGAGATATGCATTGATTTTCTGTTAAGATAGAAGTATGTTGATTTGTCAGCTATGCCATAGGCAAATTATTTCAACTCAATACAAAAATAAAAAATAAAAAATTGGTGTTTGAGATTCTGTAAAATTCTTTGAATAAAATCTATTAGAACTTTAAAAATATACATCTGTAAAAGCACAAGCTATCGTTTTTCCTTCATTTTCCTATTTGTCTTAGGTGTTTGATCTTTTAAAGACTTCAGTTGTAAAGAGTTTTAAGGATTGTCACCTCCTCCAAGGTTCGAAATTGCTTCAGAGTCTAGTCCCTCATAACTCTTGTGTTTCGGCCATGATCCTGGAAGTGGTAAAGAACAGGTAAGTTAATGAACCTTACAGCGTTTGTAAGATTTGGAACCTTAGAGATTTGTAAAGTATTTATTGTTAGAAAATGCAATGTGGCACCAAATTTATGGCCTGTTATGAGTTGAATTAACCTTTATGCTTGTGATGACAATCTCATTTGGGAATGGGTTGTCTTTGTTATATTCACAAGTCAGAACTGGTGTAGGCTGTTTTTTTTG